AGAAGGAAGAAGAGGAATCAGATATACCTACCTAGAGCATTCTATTTCAAAAAAGTCAATGATCTCAAAAATGTAAAAATTCTGATGGATTTTTGTTATTTGGAAAATTAGAATTTGGCATTTCGAGATAAAAATCTAAAACATTCACAATATAGAATTTTTCAAAAACGGAATTAGGTCATGGCTAAAAGATATGTAAATATCCTGTACATTTATTTACTACCAACCAAACTTAAGTGTTTATAATAAGTATTGAATATCCTGTAAACTCTATTATTGGCAATATATTTTAGGCTGGGATTTTATAAACTGCACCTTTCCTTTTTGAGGTCGATGGATTTAGATTACATTAAAGCAGGTCATGATCCTCGTTGCGGTATGACTTGCAATAAATAGAAAACTGAAACCCACAAAATAATAATTCTCAGTAAAACCAGACATGATTTATGATGTCTTTTGCAACGGTAAATCTGAACTGCCGGGTTATGTTTCATTTCGGCTACCATTGGGATTTTTTAAACTTATTTGCCGTGTATCTTGACGTCTTTAAAGGCATTCTGTCACATAACATGCTCATAACTTAAACCAAAGTCATGTTAATCACGTTATTTAATTTATAGTTGGATATTACGACTCGGTAAGTGTTTTTATGGTTTGTTTTCTAGTTGAAATTTGAATTTTCTCTTCTGGGACGGAACATTGATATCGATCATACAGGGTGTCCTACCGGGAACTACTTCAACCAATATAGCAAAAAGTACATTTAGGACTTGTCCTAAAAGGCCTTATTTAGGACATAAAAGTTATAATTGTTTAAAGTCCCCGGCTTTCTATTATGTGAAGATATTACCCCTGGAATATACAGAATTTTTGGTTGCTTAGCTAAATATTTTTTAGAGTAAAAATCTACTAATAACGTTTCAATTTGATTTGGATTCTACAAAGTGGCGTTTAGAAAAATAACTTTTTTATTTTCTGTCGGATTTCTGTTTTAGTGGCAAATTATTTAAGACATTTTTCGGGAAATATTTAGTTAATAGTACCGAGTCTGTGGATGGTTCTTTGTGAAATATCGTTAAAATATTAATATTTTAATGAAAACACGCTTTTAGAGATGTATCAAATTTAATGATACTTTATCTCTATATATTTTTGGACTTGTTAGGCCTTTTTCAAGAGTTTTTTAAAAATCAGTTTTAAAAAGGTTTAACAAGCCAAAACATATGTCGAGATAAAGTTATAGTCTTATTAAATTTGATATATCTATTTAGTTAATAGCATGACATATACATCAAGGAAAAAACATTGAAGGAAATATGAAAATTAAAGGAACATAAAAAACTGATAGGTGAACAAAAAATAGGTTAGACAGAGTATACTTTCCCACACTAATTTGTCTATAAGAGCAAGTCGGTGCGCCAAATGCACGAAGATGAGGAAATAATTGCATAATAAATTTGCAATAGACTGCTAGTAGAGAAAACTGCATCGGATTAGAGTTAGGAATCATTAAAACGGAAGGTTTTTGTATATAGGTAGTATGATCGAGAACATATTTTAAATACCTACAAAATTAATTTTAATAATTTTATCACCAAACCATCTAGCAGTATTTACTGCTATATATTTCGAGAAGTGATGTATAAAAATGACAACTAACCCAAATAAAGACTTAAGAGTCCATTTCACTAGCCCTAAAAAGTAGCAAAATAAGTGTTCGGCATTTAACGTTTTATGTAAAACTGGCTAGGTATTTTTATACAGATGAAGAAGGAAATTAAAGATAAAGGATTATACTATATCCGTATTGTAGCACATTTTAGACAACTTCTTTATCTTTAAGATTTTGATGGTAAATCATCAACAAAATATTCCTTATGTTTGGACTATTTTTTTTCGAAAATAAAGACATAATTTAAAATTCCGTTACAATACGGAAATAAATTGAACTTTTGTGATTACAGTGATATCTAATTTATATGGTTTTGTAACAAATTACTCGCTATTTTATGGCAAATGCTGAAGCGCTGCAAACCTTAATGAAGCCTTAATCAAAGTAAGTGCTTTTGGAATTTCGGGTGTAACTTAACACGACAGGATCGGGCTAAGCCTTTTATTATTAACTCTAACTGGAATTCTAACAGGACTTTGGCAAATCAATGGATATATCAACACTATTAATTTAACTTGGCACAGCACGCAGCAGAACACGAAAATTAAAAAACAAGACGATTTAAAATGTGTTATGCGAGTGCCCAGCCCTGTAGCATAGTATAAGGAAACTAGTAGTTTTACTCCTTGTCAAATCCTTTGTTCTTTTTCTGCCACTTTATATGACCTTGTTCTCGCCTCCGTAGCCGACGACGTAGCTGTATAGTCGTGGTCTATTAACTAGGCAAAGTATAGACGTGGCACTCGCCATAGTTTCACAGATATGTATTTAGGAAAATATGAGTTCACAATAAAATAAAATCAAAAAAAATGATCATCGAGTAAAAACTTGCTTGAAAACAGAATATTTTCACATTTCGTGTAGGTAACAATTCTTCTGTATCTGAAAATCTTCTGATGGGAAGGAAGGAGGAAAAATATATAATGACATATTTTTATATTATTGTCTATTTCAGAGATTTTCTACGACTTTTTTTTATTTAAAGCAAGTTTAGTTTTCTGTAGATAACTGGATTCGGCATAAAATTATGCTATAGTACACTGTCTTTATTTAAAGCACACTGCGGTGTTGCCAATCTATTTCTTATTTACTAAAACTTTGGTTAAAAACATTATATACGAAAAGTGGTAAAAACTAGAGTGAATATAACTTTATTAATACTTTGCTATGTTTTCTTAAACATGAAGGATATCGGAATAAATTCGTGTAGAAAACTACTTTATCGTATACAGGATATTTTTATGGCGTCACCAAAATCGTAATATTTAAAAAATGTTGTATGTCATTTTTTTTAAATGCAACACCTTGTATATTATTTTTCTTTCAGATGTAGAATTAAAAGGTGAACATATTTTGACAATACAAGACAGACAAAGATCATATTAGGTGGCTTTGAAAAAAAATTACAGTTGAAAGAGCCATATGTAATATAATACTGCGAATATCTGCGACAGCGGTAAAAATTTAGAAACACTTTAAATTAATAAAAAATGTTCACTTTTTAATTCTGCATCTGACAGAAAAATAATATACAGAATGTCGCATTTAAAAAAGTTGAGATATACCATTTATTGTGATTTTGGTGACGCCATAAAAAATACCCAATATAGAATAATGTATATAGAATGATGTAAAATAATAAAAAAATCAAACTAACTTTACCATAACTTTTTTTGTGACACCCTGTATATAACAAAATATTTTAGGATACACCCCTTTATAAACCTTGAAACATATGAATAAAACTTTTTTCACATCTTCGACAACGACGACGATATTGGACTTCCTCGCACTAATGGGCCACCCTGTATATTTACGGTGGTTTAAAGCTAAGTGTGGCACTTTTCTTCCCTCAAATATAAACTCAATATTTTGTCTATAATATTGTTATATTACGACCACTTTTAATAAAAAATAAATAAAAAAAACATAAAAAATACAGTCCACTAAATTTATAAGAGATTATGCTATTATAAAATTCTTTCAATTAAAAAATATGAATAATTTGCGGAGACTTTAGATCTACAAAATATTTACTCTAAAATTGTTTCAAAAACCAATTTATATAAATTATCTCGTAAATTATTATTGGAATGAAAATTTTATGGAAAATCCCCTGACCAAAAAATATTTTCATGCGCATATTTGAGACAACCTGTATATCTAAAAAACTATTTTTAAAATCTACACACATGCTAAAAAAATAATAACATTTAATAATTTACATAATATCTCAGCTTCTAAAATAAACAAATATAATTAAATGTTAATTGATAATTACTATCAGCTTGCCGATTTACATCCAATGGAAATCTAAAAAGACTCAGAGAACAATTTTTTGAATTATTTCCACAATTAATAGCAGCGCACAGTAAGGCACTCATTTTTTGTCAATCCGTCCCTGTGCTCGGACGCAACGCTCGAACCTCACAGCTCGACGGACCTGCCAGCTTGCAAAAACTGGCAGAAAATATTTGCGAGAGTGCAACTACTCTTTTCCTTAAACTATGCCTGTAGTCAATTAAAAAGCCATTGGCTTATTGTGAGTGATTCACAAGAGGCACTCTAGGTTACATCTCCAGCTTAGTTTCTAAATTGCTAGGTGCTGCTGTCCTTTTGGATTACCCCTCCAGCAAATTTAGGCAGAAAAATAAAGCGCTCTTACCCTGGGTGACAGCCCATCAAGGGAAAGAAGGTGAATGAAAGAGCAAACAATCTAGCTAGAAAAGGAGCGAAGAACAGTTCTGCTTCCCAACTCGAAACCAATTTAATGGTACTCAAGTGGTATTACAGGACCTGAAAGACTCCATCCGTAACCTGGAATGAGATCAGGACTTCCTTGACTTAACTAAGAACAATCTACGGATTGTCACGGTTTTTTTAACAGTACACTATCTCCTCAATGAACACCTCAGTAGACTGAAGCTAAGACTACGGCGAATGCAGATTCTGCGGGGAAAATGGGGAAACGCCAGAACACCTCATCACTGAGTACGCTTTTGATAAACTTTGGTAAGACTGATAGCGGAGATGGAGAACTTACCTCTATTACACCGGCTCATCTACTGGCTTTCGTCAAAGCTTTGAGACTATATGATCAGTTATAACTCAAGAAAGAGGGACACAATAGATATAGTCGCGGTAATTCATTTTCCCCGTCATATGCAATGTACGATCTAACATATAATAATTTTAAATATTAATTTTTAATTAAACTTTTGACAAGAATAAAAAACATTTATGATGCATTAATGTTATTTCTCATTTATATGGAACAAATGCTTAGAAAAGTTATTTGTTTGTCTCATTCATTGCTAGCCCAACTTACCTCTTTGAACCTCGAACGTCTGATAGAACTGAGACATATACGTCAAAATTGACAGCTTATCAGGTACCTCGTACTCGACCATATCTTCCGCCTCCAACAATGCCGGTATGCCCAAATGGTGTTCGGCCACTCTGAACGCCAGCTCGTTGTTGTGATATATGTCGGCCTTGTTCAACTTATCGAAGTCGCTGTAACAAAAAGAGAGAAAAAATATAGAACAATGAAGTGGCTAGAGGCTCGGGCTTTATGTCAAGGTCAGTCGAGGACTTTCGTGTCGCGACGAATGGGAGAATCAGGTCAACTGATTGAATTATTGCAAACTAAAATCGTTTCGTTTTCAAATGTTAAAAAATGAATATATTGTAAATAAGTGTTAAAAGGGTTGTTTTAGCATACAATATACAGTCCGCTGTATCGCCAATTTGAACATAGGAAATCTAATGCAAATTTAAAAAATGATAAATAAATCTTCCCCATTATATTTTAGAGAAAATTTTATTGGGAATATGGTAATCATAAGTTATTAAGTTATGTCACAATAGGACAAATTTATTATGATTTTCTTCTACAGAGATCTGTCAAAAAATTTTATTTTCTATAAAGGTTACGAAAACTACATTGTACATAATATAATCTTCTATTTATTAAACGCTAAACAATTTACAAAATCAAGTATCAACTAATATATCTAATTATAAAATGGAGAATGGAAAATAGAAAATTTGAAAAAGTTTTTCAACCCCGTCCAATACTTCTTGGTGTTCGGAATACTTAAATGACTTAAAAATAAGATTCTTTTAACTTGTGTTAAAAGCTTGTGCTTGTGCCCTAAAGGAATTTACATCTTATTACTTATTTCTTTTATTTATTTACTTAATAGTCCAAGAAAATAGGCCTTCAAATACGAAGTTTTGGTAAAAACTTGAATTTTCGATATAAGTAGATAGATAGAAAGATCTGAAAACGAATTGTGAAAGATTTTTTTAATTTATTTTTCGAAATTTCGGAGAAACGGTAAAAACTAGAAAAAAGTTCAAATAAAAGTGTGTAGAGCGTTCAATTTTACATAAAAATCTCTATACTTTTTTTGCTCAGATCGATCAAAATTAACCGAGATAAGGTAGCTAGAAGCTAGAGGACAACTTTGAAAAAACACATAAAGTTTTTTTTGCATGTCATTGTAGAAAATATGTTAGTGTATAATACAAACGTGGTATATTAAATATAATTAAAATAATTTTTAAGAGAAATAAATTAATAATTATGTTCTTTGATATTGTTATTCTGTAGTTATAGTTACATAAAAACTTATCCTAAAATAACAAAAACAAAATATAACAAATCGCACGCTCCATATAAATTTTGAAAATTAATTAAATAAATAACACTAATAAGTAACAATGCAAAGCACGTAGCAATTAACAAATTCTTTCAAATTCCCGCATAAAAATTACTATAATAATACAATTAACAAGGAGAAATGCCCGTTCCACTTACAAAAAATAATTCGTTGTTACAGTAGAATTACATAACAAATTTATATAATCCAATAAAAACACCATGGTAATGAATTATGGTTTTTAGGAATTGGAAATGAACCGAGTCAATTAAACCATTCTAATTTCCTTGGGTGGCAAACAAAACTAAAAAGTTTTGAATATTATGATAAAACATTCCTATAAATATATATGGAGTAATTGATTTGGCACAGATAAATTGTATTAAACACCCACAATAATGAAAAGTATTTTTTTTTAATTTTGCATCGGGGGTATTGTTTTAACTATTTAAAAAAAAGTATTAATCTCAATGATATGTGATATTTTATAAAAAATCAGAAAATTAAAACTACACTTTAGTTTTTCACTTTTGCATTAAATTAATAAGTGGAGAAGTATAATTAATTAAAACTGGAGAAGGAAGAATAGAGCTATGGCAATAGAGATTGACAACCACCTTGTTTTTTGCAGACGACCAAGTATTGCAGGTTGTGAGGAGGATGCCGACTATATGTTTAGGAAACTTGAGGAAGAATAAGATAGATGGGGACTCAATATCAACCTCACAAAAACCGAATACCTGAAAATAGGAGAAGAACAAACTGAAGATTCTGAACTATACATACATGAAATTAAAAGGTGTAGCGAATATAAATATTTAGGAAGTATTATATCTGAAGAAGGGAACTCCGAGAAAGATATACATAGCAGAGTTCAACAAGGTAAGAAAGTAATCGGTCGTTTAAAAAATCTCCTGTGGTCAAATAAAACATCCATCCAAACAAAGCTAAGGATTTACAAAGCAATCGTAGAGCCAATTTTAACAAATGGTGCCCAATGCTGGCAATTTTCATCAATAGAAAGAAGGATGGTCGAGTCAGTGGAGATGGACTTTGTCAGAAGAGCATGTCGAATATCAAGGATGGAGCACATTATAAATGAGGAGATCAGGCAAAGAACAAGGCGAATATATACCAGCACCGACAACATCGAATCAAGACAGCTACTATGGTATGGGCACGTAAAAAGAATGAGAGGGGAAAGATGGCCAAAAAGGGCAATGGAGTATCGTCCCCAAGCAGAAGGAAAAGAGGAAGACCTACAACTACGTGGTTAGATGGAGTAGACCAGTACATGAGAGATAGAGCTATTAACCAGGAAGAATGGCAAAATCGAACAATATGGTGGTCGAAATGCGGGATGCGGCAGAAGCTGTAGGACCCCCGCTTTATACAGATTGTTAACTGGACGGTTACTTATTGGGGAACAGAATGGCAACACAGCCTATATTCCAAATGAGTACTAAGCTAAACTGCCGACTCGTCCCGTCGCGTCGTCTCCCGACGAGCGGGCCTAGGTTGCCATATTTCAACCATAAAGCTCTTGTCGCGAGTAATAAACAAATTAACAACCTGTATACATATAATAAGTGCAGTGGAGAAATTTAGATGACGATTTGTTTTAGAGATAGAAGAAGATTTTTTCATGTATCTCATTTTAAACAATGACTATTTGGTTATATTATATACAGGGTGTTCAAATAGCTCTACTTCATTTATAATATAAATCCCCAGACGAAACGAAAAATATTTCAGCATCAAACATCCAAATGTCCAAAAAGCTCCAAATTTGGAATTTGGAGCTTTTTAATAAGAATATTAGAATTTATGAACTCCTATCATTAGAACAAAAAATCGAGAAATATCATTATTTTTTTAAAATATCCACCTTTTTTGCACTTTATTTTTACACCCTGTATAATAAGTTTGAATAAATTCTCAAACAGAAATATTGAATTATTCAAATAAACTGTTGTGTTCGTCAACTTAAAATATTCATTTGAATATTATTGTGTATGGCCCAGATTTTTAAACCAGATATATACTAAAAAATCTAAACGGATAATAAAAAACATCTGTGCTATAAAAATTTTATGGGGACACTAATAAAATCGTAAAATATTCATTTTTTTAATAAAAGTGATCAAGAAACCAGCTGACTTCTTCAAAACTCGTTATGGTATTAGTAAAAGTGAAAAAACAAACTTTATGTGCCAGGACGGTTGCATAAAATCAAAAGTACTGCTAATAACGTTAATTAGACCATTTGGAGAAGATATATTCAGTTTTATTTTAAATGAAAGCTATACGTGTTAACATAAATGACTATTGATTTCCGAGATTCACGGCCGTGGTTTCGACTTTCATCCATTCTTTTGTATTTTTTGTTCACAAATAAAAGAGAAAAAAGGAACAATTACTGACTTAACATCCGTAATAATTAATTTCCTGAAAATGACATATCAACAGAAATTACGACGTAATAAAATACACAATTTCAAAGAAGCATATAAAATATAATACAAAATTAATGGCGTATTCATCACTATACAGGGTGGCGCCCCTCATACAACACGGAGGCTCCAAGGAGAACGACAGTTTGTATTGAAAAAAAAAATTGTGAGCGTATGTAGGTTAACTTAGAGCATTTTTTTAAAGAGTTCTACAGGGAGAAATCTTTTATTAGAGAAATATATGACCAAAATATAAGGTTTTTGACATAATTAACATTTTCAAAAAATAAAGAAAAAATTCGGACTTGAAATTATTTAAATAATAATTAAATAAGCTTTTTGTTGTTAAGGTACCCAAAACAAAAAAAGTATAAAGTGTGGCATATCATTGTACTCAGGAGACCGAGTTCTTTCAAAACCTAAAATAAAAAATGCAGGTCCGTATTTAAAAAAATTAAGTTGGCCTCTATATCTCACAAATTATCAGCTAATTTGAAAATCTAAAAATACTGTTAGATAGCCCTAATAAAGTGGCTATGAGAATGCGTAATTAGTTTTTTGATTTTCTGAAAAGTAACGACAGGAAAAAATAAAATTGATTTTCAAAAAAATCCGTTTTTTCCAAAAAACACAGCAATCCTTGATCTTTGATTTTTTAGTCAGAGGGAAGAATAGGACTCAACAACAAATTGCATTGGTTTCTGGGGTAAAGAACGGAAACAGGACATTCAAAGATGGAGCATTCTATTAGAGGATCTAGTGAACTAAAACTCTGGCCCAGGAAAAAACAGACCGCCCAAAAACAGACAAGGGTAGAGGCATAACAAGGCCAGGAATATGGTGCGGATTTCAACAGGTCTCTTGTCAGGACTTAGGACTGACAAGTGCTACCTAAAGTGTCAATGCGAGGCTCTGGATGGCAAGCAACACTTTCTATTTGGAAGAGCAAGGTTAGAACTGGAGGAATTATGCTCCCATCCTATCAAGGACCTGCACAAACTGGTGCAGGACATGGGGGACTCTCCGGGTGCATACACGGAAAGAGGACGGAATTTGTAAAATTCTTACAGTAATTCATGAATAATGCACTGGATCTTAGTCAATAGTTTTCCTCGTGCATTTGATAAAATATTCATCAGATGACGTCAGAAAAATATTCAATAACACTTAGTAAAAATGTGCAGAATTTAACAACGCGCATTATCTTTTTTATTATGACTAGTTACCTTAACAAACATACATAAGTCATACTGTACGACAAATTGAGTAAATCGTTTGAAATAAATCGTTATTCCCTTGCAACCTTTCGCAATTCAACATGTGCATATTTTTCCATAGGTGGATAATATTTCCAATGGCTATAAAATAAACAACGTATAATATTGTTCATATATAG